ACACGGTGTTCTTTGTCACTCGTAAGTTCTTGAAGCGGTGCTGCACGATCCACTGCGAAACCCAATGCTCCGAATCTACTGTTGGTTAACGAACTTGACGGAAGACTACTCTGGTCTGTTTGTTGAATAGAATGGGATGTAAAAATGTGTGCACCGAAGCTTAATTTAGAAGCCGCAATGAATGCAGGGTTTACAGGCACCCACACCCTTACCACTGACTTAAAATTCAAAAGAAAAATCAAAAATTTGCAAATTAGGCTGAGTTGCAGATTAAAGTGCAATGAGATGGCCTAAATCGCCCCTACCTGCATTTTAAGTGCTTGTCAAAACAATGCCACTTCGTTACTTTCTAGCTATAGCAATAAACGGCGTGTTGTCTACAAATTATTGGTGACACTGATCAGATAACCAATGGGTGAGGTGGATGTCAGAGAAATGGCCTTCTTGATTACCGTGAGAGAGGTCAACGCAATGGCGCAACGTGAAGGTACTTCCTAATAACTGACCAGTGATAACTTTTGAACGGTGAGGCACACTGTGAGACTAAATAATGCTCTAATTGCAAAATTCGGAATATATAGCAAGAGTCGCATTCAAAGGCATGTATGATAAGCTTTTATCCGAGCAAATTGCAATTTAGTATAAGAAGCCCTTACCATTGTCATTAAATGTGGTAAAGCATGTGGCCTTCCGAAATGCCCTACATGCGTTTTCCACATTCTATTCAAAAACAATGCTGATTTGGTCATTTTAGCATCTGGCAAGCCAAATACTTTGTTAGATGTTTGGTTACTCAAACATTAGTGTAGTATTTTTGCGACCCATCAATTGATGATGCTGAACCACTTGATCAAAATCGTCCTCGAGCCAGACTGGTGCATTTATAAACCCGTAAAGAACCTCCGAATGTGTTCACCAATAATTCGTATTTTTGTCTGGCCAGCACTAATAGAATCCAGCATTACCAACCTCCATTCCATTCTCAATCAAGCATGCTTTGGAATTCCAAAGCTATCCACATAGCTGTCCTGATCGAAATCCGTACTACTTCGAGCTTTGACTACTTTCTGACCAGACATACAGAGACTCTTATTAAGCCTCATAACCGCTGCCCCAAGCTTATAACTTCAAGT